AAAAAAAAAAAAAAAAAAAAAAGAAGACACCTCATTCTCTAGGCATCTTCAATCCTGAGAGGTACATATTATCAGCTACACTGATTACACATCTCCAGCCCTGACTCTCTTCTACACAAATTCCAGACTTACTTAGGAAACTATTTGACATATTCTCTAGGAAATCTAATGGGCATCTCAAATCTTGCTATTTGCAAAGTGATCTTCCTCCCAAACTTATTTCTCCTCTAGTTTTCCCCCATGTGTCTACTTGAAGAGCAGCTCAAGAAAACTAACAGTCCATCTCAACCATCTCCTTCAACTCTTAAATTCAATACATTTTAAAAACCAGTCAACCCAAAGTGCAAAATATTCCTTAACCTATCATTGCTCTCCATTTCTTCTGCTGCATGCCCCAGCCTATTCCAGCCTGGATTCCTGAAATATCATTTAACTGTTCTCCATGCATCCACTCCAAGTCCCAGCTATTCCAATTTCCATAAAGCAACAAGAATGTTCCTTTCAAAATATTGGATCATGTCAAATTGTCATTGATTTTGCACTTCGAATCCAGACTTCTCACAATGACCCAAAGACATGAGCCTTCTTCTCCAACATCATACTATTAAACATCTATTATCCCCTAGATAAAAAGATGCCAGCCCAGTGGCCTTCTCTAGACAAGACCAGTTGCTTCCCTCTTAAAAGGCCTTCCTGAGGCTGCTCCATCATTCAGATATGCTCCTGTTACTTGTTATCTTCCGCAACCCCTGCAAAATCAAACTTATTAATATTCTCTCCCTCAAACCTCTATCTTTTCTTGTTTCCTATGTCAGTCAACATCGCCATCAGTTACCATAAAAACCTTATGGGATATTGTGCTTACCTTCCCATTACATAGCAGCTATGTAGCTTGACGGCATTTGATCCAAGTCCAGCTCCACAGAACATGACTTAAATAACCAGTTGTTTTAAGAATGAACAGGCAGAGTATTGCATTGCCCTGGCCAGAGAGAGTAGCATGAAGCTCAAGATACAGACTGGAACTCAGAACCCAGGTATAATTTCTTCCTCTGGACAAATACAGTTTATAGGCATAGAAATGAACCTATTTCTATGAACCCAAAATAAGCTATTTTGCGGTAGTACTAAGGATTCAGGATGGTAGTACTAAGAGAACAACAGAGAGACTGTTTCAGTGCACCGAGTGAAACTTTCCTGTTATGGAGGTCAATAAATCTCTTTTATTGCTGAAACTAGTTTGGGTTTTCTCTTATTATAACCAAAAGCATTCTGCTCAACGGCCTTGGCATCACTGTGTGCTCTCTATCACACCTATCTACTCTGTCACCAAGGAGGCAAAGAGAACTTCTAACCTGTCTGATCCGTCCCCTCCATTCTATTAATAGCATCATTTATCTGAACCATTCAGGAGGGGGTTTTTATTTTTGTTTTTTATGAGACCTAGAGTCTCACTATGTCGCCCTCAGTAGAGTGTTATGTCAGAGCTCACAACAACCTCAAACTCTTGGGCTAAAGCAATTCTCTTGCCTCAGCCTTCCAAGCAGCTGGGACTACAGGCGCCAGCCACAATGCTGGGCTATTTTTTTGTTGCAGTTGTTTACTTGGCCCAGGCCAGGTTCGAAGCCTCCACCCTCAGCATACGTGGGTGGCACTGTAACTACTGTGCTAAGGGGACCTTTTGTTCTCTATGCCTCCCACCCATCTCTCTGCATTACTACTGATTATATTTTTAAAATATAGATATAAGCAAGCTCCTTATTTTTTTCTCTTCTTTTTTGGAACTTAAGCTCCAATGACTCTTATCTGCCTACTGGTCAAAGTCCAACTACTTCCCTCCTGAAAGGAGGAGTTAGCAATCTAGAAGTGAAGATAAAACATTAACGTAAATATCATTTACTCGTGAATAAATATCATGGGCCTGGCAATAAGTGGAGCTACTGATGCCGGTTACCTCTGCTCAGGGCTGAAGATGAACTCCATTTTCTGGCCCTAAGCAGGCTCATAAACCACTTTGATCAATGTTCCATCTAAGCCACCACTCTCCAAGAAGAGCAAAATACCCAAAATGTGACCATATCCCTACACAATGGTAGTTTTAAAATTAACTTCTTGGGGCAGCGCTGTGGCTCAGCGAGTCGGGCGCCGGCGCCATATACCCTGGGTGGCGGGTTCAAACCCAACCCCAGCCAAACTGCAACAAAAAAATAGATGGGTATCGTGGCGGGCACCTGTAGTCCTACCTACTCGAGAGGCTGAGGCAAGAGAATCACCTAAGCCCAGAGGTTGCTGTGAGCTGTGACTTCATAGCACTCTAATAAGGGCAACAAAGTGAGACTCTGTCTCTAATAAATAAATAAATAAATAAATAAAATTAACTTCTTCCCACAGGCCCTTGGCGCCAACAGCTGTAACATATTTTATTTATTTATTTATTTATTTTTGGAGATAGAGCCTCAAGCTGTCCTCCGGGTAGAGTGCCATGGCATAGCTCATAGCAAACTCCAACTCCTGGGCACAAGTGAGTCTCCTGCCTCTGCCTCCCAAGTAGCTGGGATTACAGGCACCCGCCAAAACGCCCTGCTATTTTTTTTTTTTGGTTGCAGCCATCGTTGTTTGGCGGGCCCGGGCTGGATTCAAACCCGCCACCTTAGGTGTTTGTGGCTGGCACCTTAGCTGTTTGAGCCACAGGCGTCAAGCCTCTCTACATCATTTTAAGAGCACAGGAAAAAGTAGAAACATCAAACTGCAACAATGGAAAAGCAACAAGAGAACCAAGGTATCTCCAGGCAGCTAAACGGAGGACAGGAATTCCAGAAGAATAGTATATCAAAAGCCACTAT